GTTTAGATTGTTTCGGCTAAAAACCGATCGGTCTCAAATCGAGTATTCAGGCTGCATACTACTAAGTCGAAACTTCGAAAAATCATAACTTCCTCATACGAAGTCAAATTTGGGCATTCTTTTTATGCACGCTCTTGGCTTAACGAACTCTACGACTTACGTTTAGATCACTAAGGCTAAATATCGCTGTAACGTAAATTTCAATTTTTAAGTCATTCAGCGTTGCCGGTTCTGTCACGAAACTTCGACAGGTCATAACTTCTTCGTTATAACCTGGATTTCGGCATTCTTTATATCTTCGGAATCCTTGTTTCAACCACTACATCTTTATGCAAAGATATCGGGCTTATATCACACTTCAAATTTGACGCTTATTTTATTCTTAATTCATTAAATTATAATAATTAAGAAAATAAACACATGATTCACATAGTTCACATAATACTCAAATATTTTATCATTAATACTTCAAAAAAAGTTACAAGGGTTAACCTAAACTATTACATCACTGATAATGCCTAGCCTGAAAACGCGGGCGTTACACACGACGTGGTGTTAGGTCACCACATTGTGGAGACTGTGGGTCAGATCGTCTGTTTTGTCCTTTAGGGACCACGATGTGGTGAAGGACCACCACAACGTGGCAAGTCAATGTTGACAGTTGACCAGTTTGACTTTTGGTCAAACTTAAGTAGAATTGAGCATTTGACTAAGGATTTATCTTTGTTTGGCTTTAAGAAGATTGGGTTGACTATTGTGTTGCTGAGGTGACGGGTAGAGCTGATATTCAGAGTCGTGACCTATTCAGCTATCTGTTCAAATTAAGAGGCGAGTCTCCTCCTAGTGTTTATCGGGTCGAAGGCACCAATACCGACCTATGAATTATGATTATTAGTATGCTAGTTGTCTGTGTGACTCTTGCATGTCTTGTATGTGTTTTTATTTATACCACGCGGGGGCTGATGAATGTACCAAGTAGGCCTGATGCCTAGCGGGGCTTGATGAATGTACCGGACGGGACCTGGTGTATGTATGGTATCTGGTATTTTATGGAACTCATTAAGTTTTGTGTTTTAAACATTTTCAGATATTTCAGTTTTAAAAAGAAGAGTACGACTTGATCGCGTTGCATCCCCTGAAGATTTATTCCGCAATGATTATTTATGATTTTACTGTGATGTTTTGAAAATATTTTTACTATAATCATCTTTTGGGATAATATATGAATGGTTTTGACTTATTAAAAAATGAAAATTTACTCGGTATTTTTAGGATTTTACAATTATAACAAATGATAGTATATATTTTTTGATTTGATTTTAGCCTTAAGCAACACAAACAACATATTCAACCCAAATTCATGCTCCCACAAAAGTAGTTCACAAAAAGCCATGATTAGAACAAAGCACACACCATCTTTCTGATTGTTAATTTGTTATACTTGTGATATAATGTAAACTAACCATTATATATTAAAAGATTAAAAAACTATAATATGTTTGTATAAACAATATCATGTTCGCATATATATAGTTTAATCACAATAAGAACTCAAAATTGTTTAATGGTTAATCTCTTAAGAATATAAATATTTCTGTATTTTAAAGATTTTGATTATATTTTGAAGAAACAGTAGTAAACAAAAGAAAATCTAGATGCATGTAGACATACAATTCCAATTTGTATGTAAACGTCCATTTGTATTTAAACAATGTGTTTAATTATTATCATTGCAAAGTAGAGTAATTAATTTATAATAAAAGTACAAATACAATAATTTATCAATAAAATTTGATAAAACATTAAGGTTAGATTGATTGAGGAAATTAGCACATGGTAGGAACTAGGAAGGGACAAGGAAAGAAAAGAGCAAATTTGGGTGGGACTTCATGTGAATACAATCATGAGAAGAAAAGGTTTTCTAATTAGTGGGAGTGGAATCAAGTCTCCATCATCATACATCTTATTAGATTCTTCTTATGTGCTCTCTTGTTCGCATTTCGTTCTTTACTAATAAAATCAGACCAGATTAAAAACTTATTTTATGTGCTCTCTTGAGAGTTACGTATTCATTAATTTGCATTTATGGTCCCTAAAATATAGTTTCTTTGCATTTTATCGTCCATAACCCAGTAGCTTCGACCACATTAAAAAAGCTGATCCAATGAGACTTTAAGCAAAATAACTAGATATTATATGGTTTAGTGGTACTATTATTGTAGCGTTTGAATAGTAAAAAAAGAAATGAAATGGAGCATTACATCCAAATAAAAAAAATTGTTTGTTATCTCTCTCTCTCTCTCTCTCTCTCTCTATATATATATATATATATATATATATATATATATATATATATATATATATATATATATATATGATTAAGTTATTGTATTCCAAATAATTATTCTATGGATGAATGATTAAATATGAGCCAATCAATTTTTTAATTTTTAATAAAAATTTAATAATATTTAATTAATATAAATAAAATATAAAACTAGTACATTAAATGAAAACGGGTGTATAAGGTAGGGGTGTGCATGGGTCGGTTTGGGTCGGTTTTGGACTCAAACCCAACCCAACCCATAAATGGTCGGTTTCTGGTTTTTAGAACCCAATAGGATCGGTTTCTGGTCGATTCGGTTTCTTGGGTTCTGAGGTCGGTTTGGGCGGTTTTTCGGTTTCTTGGGTTCAACCCATACACTCACGGGTTCTGGGTTTAAACCCATGGGTTTAAGGTTTTAACTCATTTTTCATAAATGAAGCAACAAGTTAGATACTTCAATAAATAACAAATTTAAGTTAAGTACTTCAAAAAACATGACTCTTACACAAATAGTCAATTACAAGTTACAACTAAAGCTCGAAATAGTCTATTACTACTAAAACACAATCAAGTATGGGTGGTTTCTTGGGTTGGATGGGTCGGTTTCTTGGGGTGGTTTGTCGGTTTTAAGTATGGGTCGGTTTCTTAGGTTGGATGGGTCGGTTTCTGGTTAGAAACCGAACCCGAACCCGATTTTTCGGTTTCTAAAAATATCAAACCCAAACCGTCGGTTTTGCTTCGGTTTCGGTTTTTTCGGTTTCGGTTTTGTCGGTTTTAGTCGGTTTCTCGGTTTTTTGGTTTGGGTTTGCTCACCCCTAGTATAAGGATATTTGTGTAGATTTCTCATTACCATGAAAATAGGAAACTACCTATTTTCATTTCAACTGACAGTATAATCCCAAGATCATCGCACATTTCCCGATTCGATTATCGTTTATATAGGAACACAAAATCAAAGAATATTTAGTAGAATCAACAAAAAAATTGGTAGATTATGTTCTTGTTTTGTATATAATCATCGATTCTCCAAGAGTTATTTACTGAAGTTGCATTGAGTTATTTCGAAAAAGGAAAATTGGAGAAGAATGAGGAGTACAAGGTCAAGTGCTTTCAAGACGAAATATAAGAACGCGCCAACAACGATGTTAAATTTTGATGAAGACGATGATGATTTCGTTTCTCCCTTACAGGTATTTTTTTGTTTAGTTTTTTTTGTTTTTTTTTTTTTTTTTTTTTTTTTTTTTTTTTTTTGTTTTTTTTTTAATTTTGGTTGAATCCTTCAAATTTTGTTTGAATGTTTTAATAATGTAGTATTTATATGTGTTTTTGAAGTGGTATAGAACAAAGTTGATAAACTATATGCAAAAGAGGTGTAATTTTTTTATTAGGGTTTTGTCAAATCGAATATGAAAAATATGTTAGATTGTTTGAATAATAGGGGATGTGATTGCGGTTTTGTTAATATGAATAAAATAAATATATTGTGTATTTATTAAGAATATAAAGTTTGTTTTTGTTATTTTTTATGACTGATTTTGAGGGTATGTTATTTGGTTATTTTAGGGCTTCCATAATTAGTATATGACTTACAATTCTGTAAGAATAATTAATCGTAATTATGTATTGTATTACTTTAGGAAGGTGTTATATAAATACTTATATTCTATAAGAATTAGTAATGATATATTGTATCCTGTCGGAATCAAAACATACATATTCTTGTATGTAGTTGAATTCTAGATCATTTTATTGGAAAATATTACTAGGTAACTATATTTCTTTGATTCACCAGTTGATGTCCAAGCTGAATAGGAGCATATTAATGTTGTTGCTACATGTGAAAAAAAATATAAAAATGAAATATTCTACAAGATCAACACCTGTAAAAGAATAGATTGTTTCTCCACCTCCGGGTAGTTTTCTGCATTTGGTTTAAGAGTTATAATACAAATTATTTTAGAATATTTTATAATGTTAATATATGGAATTCTTTATGAATTAATGTACATTTTAGAATTCAGGCAGAATGATTTATATTAATTGTATATTTTATTTACTTATAATTTAATGTTGAAGAAAATATGTATATTCTATTAGAACAAAGGTAAATAGGAAAAATTCTTCAAGATCGCACCTGAAAAAGATAATGTAGCTTCTGGACCTTCAAATAATTTTTTAATTTGGTTTATTTTCTTATTTGGTTTAGTAGTGAGATAGTTAAAATATTTTCTAGTAAATCTTGTAATTGTATAATATATAATTCTATGAGAATTAGTATATAATTAAATGTTCTAATAGACCGATTTATAAAATTTCTATTGTATAGTTAAATAAGTGTAAATGGGTAATTAAATACATATTGTGTAATAATGAATGGAGCATAACTAAGTATGTTTATGTGATTCAACAGTTGCTACCAAAGGTGAACAGGAGATGATTAATATTGATAATACAAGTGTAAAAAGGGTAAAAAGGCAGTATTCTGCAAGAACAATGCCTGAAAAGGATAATAAGAATTCTGTAGAAGCAAGGCATGGAAAGGAAAAACCAAAAAGTTTGAATGAATTACTTGTAGAGATTATGAGTGGATCAAAGAGAAAAAAAAATGAAAAGGTAGAAATTGGTATGAATGTGGAAGTTAAGGAAGTTGTTGATAAAGTTAAAAAGGTAGTGAATGATCCACAATCAAAGCAATCTCCAAATCGAAAAAAATGGGAAAATAGAATATGAGAATGTGAATGTGAAAAAGAGGGAGGGCAAGGTTAGAAAAGTAAGTAAGGAGTATCCAGAAGGTTTAAGAAGACTTGCAACTAGAATGAATTTTGGAAGGGTTAGTGCAGCTGTGAAAGTGATATCACATACACAAAAAAATGGGATTGTGTCTATGGGTTTTGGATCACTTCTGAATATTGATATGGACAATACTTCGGGGTTACTTAACTACTATCTCTTAGATTACTATGATCCACAAAGTACCCGTCTATTTCTAGAAAAGTTTGTGATTACAATTAACAAAGAAATGGTGCATGATATGTTGGGGTTACCAAAGGATGGGGAAGACTTCATGAACATGCCAAATTGTGAAAAAAAAAAGACAATGAAATTCTATAAGAATGGATGAATCAATATGAAAAAAGGGTTTAATGGTGAAGAATACCTGAAGAAGATCAAAAACACAAAGCAAGGCAATATAATGTTTAGGCTGAATTTCCTTACCCTTTTCATTAACAGATTTGTGGAATCAACATTGAGTGGTACAAATCAAATAAATGTAGTTAATAAGTTGGTGTTGGTGAAAGAATTTTCCAAGATTGATTGGTGTAAGGATATTTTAGATTGTTTGCTTAACAGAAAACAGTTGTGGAGAAGAGATGATAAGACATGCTATTACAGTGGACCTATACTCATTTTGACGGTAATCTTGTTATGTTAAATAGATGAATACTTTAATGTAAATTGAATTATATATATTGAATTAATAGTTTGATGTTTTTTTATTGTGATGTAGCTGGTGTATGTGTATAACATGAAGTTCTCAAACGTGAAGATAATGAAAAGGGTATTGTTTGTCCGACATGTTACGGGTGATGTTCTTGAAAAAATAGAGAAGTTGGAGATTAATATGGGAGGATTTGGAAGGAAACTATAGGAGGAATTTGGATATGTTTATATTGATGATGAAATTATGGATGAAGATGAAATGTTGGAGGGTCTTAAGCGAGATTATGGGGATGAGGAGGTAAGACATAAATTTATAATAAAAAAATATGTTATATTCATAAACATTGTAGTAGATGTGTACTTTTGAGGTAAAAGTTAAAAGTAATAGGTACAATTATTCTCTTGACAACTTATTCTATTAGAATTTTGGTACTCAAACTTTGATCTAGCATTTTGAGGCTTACACGGCTGTTATCGAGCATCGCTATGGGATAATTTTATCCGAAAAGAAGATTATACAAATGGCTTTGAAAGTTGTAGTGGAAAATTTTTCCAGATAGTATGTTGTTGAAGGAGTGGTATGAAAAAAACGATGAATTATTCAATGAAGTCAAGAATGAAGGGAATGGAGGAATGAAAGATAAAGAACATTGTTTTGATGATGATGTAAACAAATGAGCTGATGATGGTGGTAATGAAGGAGGAATTTCTCTGGTTAGAGCTTTGGTAATTTATGGGGATAAGAAGGATGATGGTGGAAGTTCTAATAATCCTATTGTAGAAAAAGTTGATAGTACAGACCATCTAACTTGTTCACAGTTTTTGGAGCATCCTGAGGTGTTGGCGAAATCCACAGAAATGATAGATGAGGTTGTGTTGAACAGTTATAAAAGAGAATAGAAAAAAGGAAAAGAAATCTTGAAAACATGGGAAGTAGATAGAGAATATAAAACCAGAAATGTTGGAAAGGATTACAGAAGGTGTGGAAGATGATGATAATGGAAAAGGGGGAAAAGAGGACTAAAGTTATCTATATACGGAAGGTCACCGTTTGTTGAAAGAATAGTTCAAATAGGTGACAGAGTGAAGAAGGATGAGATATCATTATACAATTCAAATTTTGCATCAAAAAGAGAATATGGGTAATTGAGAAAATATATTATATTGATTTGTTTATAAAACATAATTGTATAATGGATTTGATTAAAATTGATACAGATGATGTATAATAAATGTATTGTATTGTATCACATAAAAAAATTGTTTGGCAGCTACTTAAAATCACAACATTCCAAAAAATCAACTGCTTTCAACAAATCTAAACCTCGTGTCATGAATATTAGATGGAGAGTAGCAAATGAAGGATCAGACTATGGAGTGTATCTTATGAGGCATATGGAATCGTATATGGGGGAAGGTGAAGGGCGTTGGGATTGCGGTTTTAAAGGTAAAAAAACAAAGTGATGTGATTGCTTTAAATAATTTAAGAGTTAAATACATGGCAAGGCTTATGAAATCCAACTACAACAAGTATAAAAGTATGTTGGAGAGATGCAAAAGCCTATGACAGGCTTGATCCATTAGAGAAGATGGTTCTTCTGAATGAAGTGAAGGAAGCAAGGGAGACGAAAACACAAAGAAGACGTCGTTTTTAAGATGGACATGTTGTTTTGATTACTTAAGTATGGTAGAATGGTTTTAGTTGGGAGACTTTAGTTCCTGATATATATGCTAGCATGTTTTATTTTGATATTGTTGTCTTTGTTTGGGAAACATTAGAAAGTGTCTGATATTAGAATGTTTTTTTGGGTATGCAAATTATGAAAATAAGTTATGTTTTGGATTTTAAATGTTTAAAGGTCATTTTCTTTATTGTTTGCACATAGTTTATAATTTCAATTTAGTTTAATGAAAATATATTAAGATTTAGTTTGTGTGTTGTTTTATATTGTTTTTATAGTGTTTTAAAATATAAATAAATAAATTAATATGGCATTGTTCTTAAAGAATGAAAATGATGAGAATACATTAAAATTCTGGTTATGAATTGTTTTATGTTGTTTTCATAAAAATTAGTAGTCTCCATATGGTGTTGTTCTCAAAGAATATAAAAAGCAAAATTTGTTATGACAGATAATAAAATAAAATGTATCCTAATATGAAAGAATTTAATAGTGTATGAAGTTATAGTCATTCTGTTTAGTGATTAACTATAGTATTCTGTAGATATGAGTGTGTTTATATATGGTTTTGCTATAAATTTGAAATAAAGAAAACATTGTGTAATTTTGAATTTTATAAGATATGTAGGTACAGGGAAATTGTATACATATGTAGTAATTATTGGTTGGAATATATAGTTCTATTAGAATATGTTAGCGAGTTAGTTGATTCAATATTTGGGAAAGGGAACTCACTCGTACACAATATTTTTTCTCCGTACACAACAATTTGTGTTTTAAAGTGTTATATTGTACAACTCTATAATGAATAAATTGTTGTGTATAGTAAAAAAATTGTTGTGTACGAATCACTTCCCATTAGGAAATAGTATGTAGATGGTCTTACAAGTACTTGAGAAAATTAATGCTTATAAATGATTGTAATGTTGGTGTAAAACACTTAAATAATGAATAAGAAAAAAGTGTGTAATAGTGCATAACCATATCTAATAATTTCATAAAACACTCGGCACAATGAAAATGAATGTCAATAATACACATGAAACAAGAATGTTACTGTTATATCATAATTTAAAAATCCTATATAAAAATTAAACTACTTTGGCACGTTTTTTAGAGGACAATTTCGTTTATCATTTGAAGCCATCTGTGTACATGAACCACACTTTCGCTTAGGCATTAAACATTTTTTTCCAGCATTTCTTTTTTATATTTTAATCTCTTACCACAACTTCTAGTTCCCTTATTACGAATATCAGATGGATTCTCAATGTCAGACACATCATTAAGTGATTCCACACCTATCATCTACAAATTATTTTTCAACTTATTCAGCTCTTCAAGGTATGAGTTTAACTAAACAAAATCATGGCTCAAAACTGAAACACAACGGTCTACATTGAAAAAAATTTAATAGTCATCATGTCAGAATTTGAATCAACAAAATAATTAGAGAAACGCCTCTTAAGTAATTCTATTGGAATAACATCTTGATGCCAACATCTCATAATGTTTTGTTCAGGAATCTGTTTAATATTGCAAAACTTAAAAACACAGAATATGTGTCTACACAAAAGACCGACATGTTCAAAATGCATGCAACTACACTTGAATGAACCATCTATTGTTAAGTGGGTAACCTGGAATATGTATGATAGTAGATGACTATATGTTAGAAAGTCTTAGTATGTGATTAAAAAGAAATGATTATATAATGAAGTAAGAACATGTCGTGTATTGGGTATCCTTTGTAAGACAATCGTAATGGTATTCCTCAAGTTTGTCATCAACAACGGGACTTGTTTTTTGCATTGTGCTTATGTTCTTTTTCTTCTCCAAAACAATAATTGTGTCAACACCTTTGCAAGAAGTCACACTCATTTGGAAACAAGTATTTTCCGAATCTGAAATCTCTTTCTGAACCTGGTAAAATATTTTACGACTGTATACCTTTGAAGCATGTGGTTCGTTTGGACTAGCTATGATGAATCTAGGAACAATTATGGTGGTGTTGAAGTCATTGAAAATTTGATTATGTCTTTGACGCTCCATTACACCCTCAAAAGTCATCATAAACATTAAAAGACAAGAATTGGTTAGGGTGGTATTTTGAAATGACAAATTTTGGCCTTCAGATAATGATGTAGTTCTCATAAGACCAGACATTGGTATGTACTTAAAAAATGCAGGTACCTAACGTCTCTGTAACCAATACATCTCTTTCATCCACTTGTTACTTGAAATCTTAAACTCATCTAAACAAGTTTCCCATGCTTTATCAAAATCATGTGGTTCCGGATTAGAATTCCAAATTATAGAGTGAAAACGCTTTCGAAAATCTGAATTTGTGGCTAGTTGTGATGTTATCTGAAGAAAAATACAGATATGGCAATATAGTAAAAAATAAAACGTTGGTATAAGTCGTATAAGGTAGAAAAATATGGTATCATATGTATTATGTTAGAATTATGTATGTTTGCTATAATTCTGTTAGAATGATGGTAATTGATCCTATCAGAATTGTATTCTGAAAGAACCAGATGTATTAGAAAAATAAATATATGAACAATATTTTGGTAAATAAAAAAAATAAATGTGCACCTTATTTGGCAATTTTTTGTAATATACCACATACAAAACCTATGTGATGACATTAGAAGAACTTCTTTTACAGTTTTGTTTCAAAGCTAGATCCTGATTTGTGAGAACAAGCTTCAGTTGTTTTTTGAATGCTTTCAAGAATGCTCTAAGCATCCAAGAATAAGAACTACCATCTTCTCTATTCAAAATTCCAACACCAAATGTTACACGTTGCTTTTGGTTATCTATCCCAGTGAACTGTACGAAAACCATATCATATCTATTTTAAAAATTAAAAATTAATTAATATTATTAGAAGTAATAAAAAAAATTGGTGATAACATTATAAATGTAAAATATACTTATTCATGCTGAATGTGGCATCAGTGGATACAACATCTCCAAAAACATTGTAGTTACACTTTCTGGTTTCATCGGCCCAAGAAAGCGCATTCAATTTTTATGCACGACATTAAACTCGAAAGAAAAGGTTGGGATATTTTTTTCCTTTCCGGCATCTTGACAACAAGGATTTTTGCTTCCCTAGGGCCTATGTAAGAATTAAAATTTCTCGTGCTCTTCTTGAAATCGGAAACCAAACTACCTTGAACGTAAGACCCACCCTGATGTCCGGTATACAATCTATGTGCTCTTGAGGCACCAATATTTTGCTTTGACAAGTTGTGAATAAACATCTCCTGAGAATAATCATGTTTCCCCTTTGTACAAGACAAAAACATGTTGTCATTACCAAACAAATCATGAGTATGTTGTTCGACAAAATCGTAAACAATATATTTATTAGTACCATGTAATTGAATAAAAACAATTTTTGCTTTGCATTCTTTAACGCCCAATCCTGGTATGTTATTTAAATGCATATTTTTTTCAAGTTTTAAGAGGGACTCGACGAGTCAGTAGCCCGACTCATCAAGTAGGGATGGGTTTTCGAGCACGTGTAAGTAGGCGACTCGACGAGTCCATATTTGGGACTCGGCGAGTCTGCCGGTCTGGAAGAAACCCTAGAATCCACGGGTT